ACCAATGATATCAACAACTTGCTTCACTTTAAATGTTCCTATTTGATGAGGAGAAAATTAAAAATATCTTATCCTGTAAAAGAAAAGTTTTGAGACATTATGAAGGAAAGAAAAGCAAGTAAGTTGTATAATTACCTATTTGAGTTACTTCCCTCCCCAGTTACTCCTGAAGTATTTAACCCTGTGCTTTAAAACTATGCCAATGGCTACACTTAGCCTAGCAATATACGTATTATGCTACAAATTAGAACATCAGCAAATTCTTGCTAACTCACTTCTGAGACACACTGTTCTCTTGTGTCCCGAGTTAGAGGTTCTGTTAAATTATAAATGCCTCCATATTCAACTTAAAATTAACATAGCTTCCTCCATTAAAGAAATATGTTACTCAGGTATTTGTGATTAAGTGAAGGAAATGAAAATAATCCTAACAAAGGTTTGAGTTTAAATTACTCTGCTCAAGTTGGTAAAATCCCCCCAAAAAAAGTAAAACCAGGCAAAACCTGCGTCAAGTTTCCTTATTACTACAATTATCTTTTCCATATTAAAAATAATACCTGTTGCTTCCTGAAGTACAGGTAAGGGCATTAAATGACTCTACAAAAGCAGGAAAAAACTACACATTTGGCTCATATTAAAAATCACAGCTACCGAAATGAAACTATTCTATTTTAATTAAAAAAAAATCTACATTCCAAATATTTACCATTATATTTAATGAATAAGATAGACACAAGTTCCCCATAAAACTAATAAGTGGAAGACTGAGAAACAAAAATCAAGATATACAATCTTATCATCCAGATATACATTTCTGATAGTGACTATATGTTTCTGTAACATGCTTGTGATCAGTGTGGTACCATCACCACAGGCCTTCAGATAGCCATCTTTATTCCCCAACAGCCTCAAATCTCAGAAACAGTACATAATCTTGTTTTGGTGCCAAGTCACTCCAAAGGCCTTTTAAAATTTCCTGTAAGAGTCACAATGTCTAATTACTAGATGAAAGAAAAAAGGCAAAAAAACAAAAACAAAAACCATTTTTCATCATCTGATTCAGCTGTTGCTATTACAGCTTTAAATGAATTTATACTTCCTTTCAGAAAATGGGGAAGTAACAAATTTAACTGAACGCTACATGTATGACTATGATACTAGTCCTTTGGTATCTTTTCCATTCGCATACATCTACAAGAGTTTTCTATAAGTGATTCACGTGCATGTAATCTTTAAAGAAGAGTTTCAGTAAGAAAATTTGCTTTTTCAATTTATTCTTTTTCTCCCCCTTGCTTGAAGGAAAAATGTTTCTTTACATCTACTGTTTTGTAGTTGTAAGGAAAGCTTGCAAATGTTTCGTTCTCCTGGTAATGAAATATCCTATCACTGCACATATGCGACATCTTCATGAAATAAGTCTACAGTCCCGAGAAAGGCATTTAATTCGACACTGCACAACTTCCTCAACAATCTTTAGAGATTCAACATACTTAATTGCAGAAGTAATTAGTTCCCTTTGCAAAAAATCTAATAAAATTCTTCAGTCAAAACAAGCTTAACCAATTCCCGATTCAAGGGCATTCTTAATGAATTATAAGACATCTCCCAGATAATCACTTCCGATTTGGCTTTATCATTTTTAGTATCACACTAAGGAATTTCTTTTAACACACATAAGTATCAAGTAATTAAAAAAAACCAACCTGCATATTAACTTAAAAAATGATTTCTCTAACACATCTCTTTACATAACAGACAAACTTTTTTTTTCTTTTTTTTTTTTTTTTCTCTTTTTTTTTTCTTGTTTGTAATTTGGACCATTAACTCAATTTGGACTAAAGCACAACGTAAGAAAAGACTTCTCATAAGGTAGCAAGGTTCCTTGATTGGGAAAGCACAGGATCAAAGTGGAAACATTTACATCTTCTGTTTTATTTATGAGGCTTAAATCTTGTAAAACAGCATCTGCACTCCTCTGAAGATCTGTTCCCTAAAAGAAAATAATAATCAAAATATGGATACATCAACAGTGCAGCCTGCTCTAACTACCCTTTTGTTTTGCTTTTTTCCCCATGCATGGTTTCACATCTTTCAAAACAAATAGAAAGACATAATGTAAATACCAGTAAGACGTAGTTCCATATCATTCAGCTAATTAACTACTTCTATGTCAATGTTTTTAACTCCCTTTTTTATAAAATGTGATGCTCACTCAGATTACTTCACTGTCAGAGTAAAGCAAGTGAAACTAAGCTTTTAACACCTTGGAAAACCAAAATGTGTTTTGACAACTGCTATATAGCTTCATCATAACAAATCCACTAACTCATAACAAATCCAGTAAATCAAGCATAACTATTCCTGAAAAAATAAAAATAAAAAAGGGGCAGAGGAGGTGGAGAAGGAGGGAAAATGTACTTAACATCATTAATGCTACGGTGTCGCACAGTGAAACAGAAATACTGAAAAAACTTAATTCCAAGGTAAATATATAGTAAACAATTTGCTGATTGGACAGAAGTGACAGGAAGTTTATTGATTAGGAAATAGCATGACATAGAAAACACTGCTAGAAGATGAATGTTGAGAAAAAGAATGTGAATGCAGAAATAAAAACGTGTCTTCAACTAAACTGAATTTAAAATAAAGAACAGTTTCTTACCATCTCTCCTCCAATGCTATTGTCTTCCAGTATTGCTACCCAGTCCATACACTCTGGACTTTTATTGTATAAACATATTTGTTCAGTCTTTGAAGACCCAAAGTAAACTGATCCAAAATTAATGCATTCCAATATATTTCCAGAAGACACTCATAGAACTTTCAGAATTTGTTCAACCACAACAGCTTTGATCCATACTTCAGTGCAGCCACGTCCTTCCAACTCCACTCTGTCAGTAACAGTAGCATGTAACAGGTAATGTACAAAAATGTTAGAAACAATCAATTTGTATTATGCAAAACTAAGTCAAATCAAAGCATTTAAACTCAAGTTGTCATCTCCATAGATAACCTAAGCACTTTTAAGAACTTTACGTCAAAGATCTTCTTAATTTAAGTAACATAATGAAACAGACTAGAAAAAAATAACACACATACCCTTTTTGCTACTAGAAGAATATAGGATTGAAAAGGGTTTTCCAGATTTGTATCAACTCCAAATTCTGATAGTGCCTAAAAAGTCTGTATTTACAATTTGAAAGACAACAAGGTGGGAACTTAAAAATAGTATATTCTTGAAAGAGGTAATGGTTGTGAACAGATTCCTTCTGTTGAAAATGGACACCAATGGACATCGTAACGTTTTCTGAGACTAGTGAAACACATCCAACCAAGAGAAAAAGAGCAAAGTTATAGAAATCCAGAAAAAATTGGTGGTGTGGAAGGTACAGGAACACTGCAGGTAGAAGATGCAGAAGCTCTTTGTTAGCAGCACACAGAGATGTGCACACATGCCATGTAATTACAACTTACAAGAAAATTCTAAAAAACAGCCACGTACACAACCTGTGTATCACTGCTCCACAGAGATAATATAAACATCAAGTTCATTTAATGAAAATAAGTGTTGAAGACGGGAATTGACACTTGGAAGATATATATATATATATTTGTATATGTATTTGTATATGTATTTGTATTAAACAAATTCATAGTAAAGTCTTTAGAATTAATTTTTTAAAATATATAGACCTGGATTCCATCAACCATACTCACTCACTTTATCACTTCTTTGATGACTCTTGGGACATCTGTACAGATAGCCACTTCAACCACCTTTCAGGATCCACCACTCCACTGGAAGTTGTTATATTAAGTAACACAACCCCATCATATGATATCTCAAACGTACCTAAAAGGAATAATACATTGCACAACTTAGAAGTTGTAGATCGATATTTTCCTATGAAACATTTTCATTCACAAATGACATAAAGCAGGTGTTTACAAGCAGTACATTTTCTTATGGAAACAGGAAACACAAGGTTAACATTTTTCCAAAACTATTTCTAACAGAGTACAGCATTCTTCCCAGGATTTTTGAAATTAAACATCCACATATCCAATGTAACTGTGCCAACTGTGCAAGCTGTCATTGCAACAGGAAAGGTACTTACATTCCAAACAGAACTGATTATATCACAAAGCCATTATAAGTAACATTTAATAAATTTGGGAATATTTTATGCACAGCTCTAGGCAGCCACAGTCTAGAAATTTCACAGATCCAAAGAGAGATCTATTACCTGCAAATAGCAACACTTTTCATAGCTTGATTCATACACTATCCAATTCATTGCAGAAGAGAACAGTTAATCTTTCTCTGACATACAAATATCTGTTTAAATGTGAAAAGAATAGTAAATGTGTATTTCACCAGCAGCACTATTTTTTTGCCATTATAGGTAGCAAGAAATTGTTTCAAATGTTGTAGGAAAAACACAGTTTTACCTCAAACAACAGCTGATCTCTAATATGACATCAGAAGCAGGTACAAAGCACTCATACTTTTAGCACGAGATACGAAATGCCTTGATTCACAGGCTGCATACAGCATTTCTGCTGCTGTAGTTTATATGATGCCTGCCAGCACAACCTGCTGTGTTCCGATTCAGAGACTACACACACAGATTGAGCAGCTCTGCCTTTGTCTGCCCTTGGTAAGTTCTTCACTAACCACTGCTTTTATTCTAATTTTGCATGTGGCCAACACTGCAAAACTCCATTATGCAGCCTTTATGTGTCATGCAGCAGTTTAGAAGTAGTTCCTACACAGTGTGAAAAGTCTCACATCGTGCAAATGATAAATCTGCAACCAGTGATCAACTAAGATAATGATCAGCTGTTACTTTTACATCTCTCAGATTGGATTCTAGAGTAGAGATCTCCTAAAATTCTGCAAAGTTCCAAGTACATTTTTCTTCCCTAAGCAGAAACACAGTAGAGCCTAGAGGAGGAATGGATCACTTGCAGAATGCACAGGTAGGTAGCTCAGCACCACCACACGGCTCTCTCACTCCCCCTCCTCAGAAGAAAGAGGGGGAGAAAATCTGATGGAAAAAAGGCTTATGGGTCTGCAGGGCTGGTTCCCTCACATGTTCTTACTCCTCTCTCCCAGCTGCTGCTGCATGGTGTTTTTCCCATTCCTTAACTCTGCTCTCCCAGAGGCCCACCCAGCATCACTCCCTGTCTCGGCTCTGGCAAGCAGCAGGTCCCTTTTGGAGCCGGCTGGAGCTGGCTCTGGTCTGACACGGGGCTCTGCTCACAGAGGCCCCTGCTGCAGCTCCCCCACTACCAAAACTTTGCCACATAAACCCAATACAAGAACCTTTAGCTATAACAGGAATAATAGAAATAACGCAGAACTTCAGTTAATTCCTACTTAGTCACTGAGGAGTTAACTCACACACAAAAAAATACATTTCCTAAGAAAATAAATATTTCATAATTCAGTGCATATTTAATATTTACCTGATGATGATCCATGGTTAGCAATATTGATCTCTTTACTAATTACTTTACTGTTTGCAGTCACTGTACCGAAATTAATCTCTGAATCAGTTTCCAGATAACAGCATGGAATTAATCTGCAGAGAGAAGGCATGGTTTTATTTTCCCCAAAGTTGAAAATACATTTGCATTTTTCAAGAAATTTGATTAAGCACCACGTTGGAAGAGTTCTGCTTTTCTTCTAGTCCTCCTACTAATGTTTATGCAACTCACTCCAGCAGTACAAAATACATTAAAAAGATCTATTAATTCATTTAATTTAAGAACTAATGACTGCAACTTTAAAACAAGCTAGCCTCGAGCAATTAGTCAAAATGGAATATATGCATTTTTATTTAACTCTAAATACCTATTTGTCATACAAAGTAGTTTAAATAGTTTACTAGAAAAGTGTTCACTGTATTGAGTTGGTCGTATCTCCGAAGTTAACATCCACTGTCTTTCATCGTCAGCTGCCTGAACTAAAAGTAGAGAAAAAACCTGCATGCCAATTTCAATTTACAGTCTTCTTGTTTTATAGATACTTCACATGGCTTCAGCAAAACTCGTTAAAACATAGGAAGCGTATAATGACACAAGTTCTTGCTGTTACTTATTTAAGAGCATCAGCAAGCATGACTACTTCACTGGATTGGGTACTGCTTAGACTTAATGAAAAACAACTACTTGCTTCAGCAAACTCATGAAGGCCCCGATTCCTAATACAAGCCCACGTTTGACATCATGTAAAATTGTGTTCAAAATTAATTAGGATTTTACATGAGCACAGATGTCCATCCCCTCTTAACTGCAAATAGGGACATGCAGGAACAATTGCATCTCGCGGCCTGTACTAAGTGCTGCACCAAAGACTAACAGAAGGAAGACAGCTTCCTAGGCCAAGCTAGGTGGACCCTACCCACAGAAGCTCTTTCACAAAGTACAGGGGCAAGCAAGTGGGAGGTGGTGGGAAGGAAAGGAGATGGGGGTGGAGGGAGAAGGGAATCAGAATGAAACAAATGAACTTCCTCTTGGGCAACAACTTGGTTTTAATTCTATTTAATAATTTATTGTGATGCAAAACAAAATACTGAATTCTTCAAATAGATGGTTTAAACCAGTGGGTGGGGGTACACCAGGAAACTACTGTCAAGATCAGAGCACAATTAAAACTATTTTGAAGTCCTGACATGTACCAATTATTTAGACATTCTTCCAAGAGGTTTCATGAGATATATGGAACTAAGCATCCTTCCACTCAAGTCCCAAATATATAACTACCCAAGTAGACAGGAATAAGAACAAAATTGTAACCAGTATCAATTCCTAGTAGATAGCGATCCTTTCACAAAAGAGAGAGAGGAATTAGAGTGTTTACATTTTGTTAAAACAAACAAACAAATCCCAGTTACTATATTTCAAAGAAAAAGCAAGAATGAGGAGTTTCAGCAAAGCATTTACACACTCAGACACACTAAAAAATAAGCCCATAACTCTCTGGTTTGATTGAAACAATCCCAAATCTTGAGTATACATGTAAGTATTTTCTATTGCTATCAAGTATTTACTAAATTAATTCATTACATCTGTATTACTGAGCACATTACGAGTCCATGGCACGATCAAGATACACTAACTGCATTGTGTGGTCACCAAAACTGGTATGAAATACATGAGTGACAAATTAATATGGTTAACCACTGGAGCTAGTCACATGTGCCAGGCAAATACATAAAAGGTATTTCATTTGCAAATCAAACAACTATGATATTAACTTCACTAAGGCACAATGGAAATAAAATTCTTTTGATGATATTTTTAACCAAATAAGTGGATACAAAAATAAGTTAAAAGTTACTGCAGTCTGATGTTGTATGGGAAACAAGCTTTTCCTACATTCACAGTGAATCGCTTCCCAGACTAATGATTATCTTAAAATGAACAGCAGATGTGATTGAAGGAATTGCACAAAATGTTGGCAAAAAAGGATAAATCTTTTCATGCTTTTCTCCTAAACTGGCCATGAACTTCTCTTTCATTAAGATTCCATGGGCAAAACATGCAGACCCAGATTTTCTACAAGTTCATAGAGAATTACACATTTGTACATACACAATAATCCATACTAAAATAAAAGGTGAAAAACAACAATTCCAAAGACAGAAAACTGAAAATAAGTGAACAGGTAAGAGAGAAGTAGCAGACATTTAAAGAGGTCACTCTAAATAATTTCAACAACTTCGAAATATTGTCTATACGATAACACATCTTAGGTTTCTGTAACTTCTGAACTAGCTTTCACATACTTTAAAATGTAATTCTGTTTGTTAGATGTGGAAGTACTTTTTCGAAGTACTGCCAGTACACAGTCTTTGAGTCATTCACCCTAGAAAATAAAAATAAACACTGTATTTGAACCGGCCAAAATCTGTGGCTTGTAATTCTGCACGTGTCAAAAATACATACAACACAGACATAAATCTAAGTATATCCTTAAAAAAATAAACTATGTATGTCAACTTAACACTTAAGGAAATATAGGATAAATGCATATTAAATTATTGATGGTGCATCAGCAGAAACAATAAAATGTTATTTAAAATGAAAAAAAGAGGTAAAAACCTTTAATTAGGGAGAAAAAAACACACTGGAATTATACTACTAATAAAAATAATATACTAATAAATTATACTATTTCCAGTTGAAGGGAAGAAGAGGACAGGACACAGCACAGGGGCCCTCCAAAACAGAACATGCAAATATTTCCTTTAAAATATTTTTAGTGTCTTCCATCAAATTAAAGACTTCTGTGCACATTTCATAGTGATATCTTTATTTAAAAAAAAAAAAAAAAAAAAGCTTCTGACTAGTATTTGTCAGCCAATGAGTTCTTATACTACCTATATTTTTTTCTCTAAATGATAAATGGCATATTCAAAACTATGTTTGTAAAGAAAAATATGTTTGGTATTTGGTGACCCTTCGGTGCAATAACTATCATCTATCTGTAAACAACAGACATGCATGACAAAATTGATTTGGGAGAAGACTGATTAAAAAGTATTAAGTATATTTAGTTTTGATTTTTACACAGAAAGATAATAATCAGTTATACCCTGTTATTTTTTCCCCCGCAAAAGATTAAACACAAGGATTTTAAATATTTAGCTATCTACTGAAAGTCCTTTTCAGAAAGGAATTGCCAGTAGCTTTATTGTCCAAACTGAAATCTCTCCAAGGCAGTCTTACCTCCAAATAGTAGCAAATAAAAATAGTTTTTTTTCTTCTAGGAAGTGTGCTCTGGCAGAACATATGTAGAGACAGCTATTTTTAGTAGTTCACACAGACATCCGCCTAACCAGAAAGGTGAATAGAAGAAATACATGTATCATAAGACATCTTACATGAATCAAGTGGTATTTTAAACATTTTAAATATTAATTTTAGGCAAAAAATAATAAAATGATCATATTGAATTACTATGTTCTGTATTAACATTAAATAAATGAACAAAAAAGCATTCAGGGATTTGCATTTAAATCTCTACACAATTATTTTCTCTCTAATAATCTTTAGTGTTATTATACTAAAGTCAAATGCACAGACTTGTAACAATACCAATTTATTTTAATAGATCTCAGGGTATTATAATATTAAGACTGATAACAGTAGAATGAACATGACAATTGACCTGTGGCTAAGAAACTGCTAGCCCAAGAAGCAAAAAGCATGCAACTGAAATACGGTGCTCTTAAGATGAAAGGAGAAAAAGCAAATCAGGGAAAAACAAAAAGATCACAACATGACAGGTACATAAAATGACAGAGTAAGTATTGCCCATCTGAAGGCAAAACCTGATGCGTTTCAGGCTAACATGAGTTTGTGGATTTGTTTTATTTTTTAAAACAATTCATATTGAATAGTCTCCAATGAAATTCCTTTCCACCCGTAAACAGAATTTCTAATGTTGAGATTTTCAGGAAAATCATGATTTGCATTAGTTTATGTAGAGAGGGGATTCACCTATCCTAACTTAGGCACCCAAGAGCTGGACCTGTTGTCGTTCTGTTTTTTCTTTATAGGCAAGAGAGAGAAAAGTCCTCCAGAACAACTCCATCCCAAATCCTCATCTGCAGATAAATATCCAGCCTAAGTCTGATGAAGTATTATTTAGAAACTTACCTTTTCCAACCTACATACAGATAATATACAATACACAGACATATTAGAAATCATCAGCATTATTATAACCAATATAAAGTAAAGCAAAAACAAGAACTCAAAGCCTCTGTAGTATTTTAGAACATCACCATCCCAATTATCTTCTTACCTGTGCATTGTTATGGCGAAAAAAAAAAAAAAAAGGGAAAAAACTTGCTATTTATTTTCATTACATAGCTTAGTCATGCAGCCATATGTGACAGGTGTTAGCAAACTTTCCACAAGATTAGACTGAAAACTCTAACAGAAAAATGTGAACTTTTGACCTTCATATCCGAACAAGGGGATATCAACTCTTTTCCTATTAAAAGAAGTAGTCGGTCTTTGAGATCTTCCTCACTCTCAGGACAATATTCTACATCAGCTGCAACAGGTTTTTCTGGATTTTCCACAATCAGTTTAAGCTGCAGTGAAAAAAAAAAAAAAATTAATCAATTTTTCATTTTTAAGATTTAAAAAGATATACATGTGGTCAATTTTTCAGAGTAACACACAGTGATTTAAAAAAGGAAGAAATTCCTCTGCTTATTTATTTATATTCATGTTGTTTATCTTTTTTTCCTGTTTACAGTAAAACAGAAAGGCAGAAAGAATGCCCAATCCACACTTCAATGTAATTCGATGAGTTGACAAAATACTGTTTCTAGTCCTTTCAAGAGAGCTCTAGCTTTTGCTGCTGTTGCCATAAACCCTCTGAAGCACCATAAGATAAGGTCAGATACTACTTAATACAGAACCTTTTCAGTATCTGAGAAAGCAACAAGGATTAAAGCTCAATCCAAAATAGCCTATGAATAGTCTGTAGATCTGATCTACACTCAGATGAATTCAAATGAAAATATCACTATACATTGAAAAAATCTTCCTGAAGGGCCCAT